TGGCAAGTGTCACAGGCTTGAAGTGCGGGGGCAACGCTGAGGGCAGACGCGTCAGCGATGGAAGCGGGATGGAAAATTAAGCCCACTTTAAGGACATTGAAAACGCGGAAGGTCAACGCAGAAGTGTAAATTGCTCTGTAAAAGGAGTTGCTGCTGACCTGAGAGGAGATCTACGCAGCCGGCTTTATCTCTAGCAGGGCAGGCACACCGCTACACACACGCCTGTCCACTACGGAGATCCCCGGTGGGCGACTGTCACCTCATCAGCCCAAACTCCTCCGACCTGAGCCTTCTGCACAACTACGTCTGGGATGCAGTGTCAGAAAGTGCACCAGCCTCGCTATCGGGGTGTCTCCAGTTAGAACGAGCTGAAGGAAGTCATTCAGGGTGCATTGGAGAAGCTGACACTAGACCATGAGGAGAAATATTTCCCAGTGGAACCAGAGACCAATTGATGTGGTTCAGTTGGATGTGATCCCATGGCCCATGTGTTCCAATAAATGACTCACAAATCAACCGCTTTACACGTGCTTGTTTCTAAGCTGGTAACTTAAAGAATTGTCTGCCTTCCAAGTTAAGCGTCTGCTGTATCACTGTACAACAAGTAGAAAATCACGTCCTTACCTACCTTGAAATATTTTAAAATCGGGTAACCAGTGGGGACAACGTACCCGGTATTCAAAGAACAATATCAGTTTTGATGCTAATGCTCAAACGTGTTTTAGCTGGTTTTTGCAGTGTTACATTTATATTATCACTGGCTATCCAAATGACCTGAAGACAAGACTCAGCCAGCTCCTTTCAGTCTTCACTAAGCTGCGTTTTGGTCCATTGTAGCCTAAGCATAAGGAGTCGATTAACCTTTTGAAGCCAATTGCACATCGCCCGAACTGGACCTTCGAGTATTAACCTTAATAACCAGCCAGGTTTGAGGCGCGGATCGGGTCATCGATCTCCGATATCGAGAAGGTCAAACAAGATTAACTTAATTCCGTGTTATTTTGCTTCTTAACTTGGAGCTTTGTCTGTTGCGAAGTTGCTTGCTGAATTCTTGTTGATTTGCACACCATAATGTGTGACTGACGCACTCCGGCCGTTGGACACGATTTGTCAGGACGGACCGCGCCCGGCGTGCGGTCAGCAGAGCCGTGCTAATTCGAAAATAAGCTTCCCGAGATCACCTCAGTAAAGGTTACTTACAGACATGAACAATGAAAATGATGGCAACAGGTTTTTTGCTGACTTTCAGAGACAGTCATGTGCCTGGCTTCAGGAATTATTCCATGAGCACACCACCAGGGCGCAATCGAGTAGCTCCCTTTTATTTAAGTGATCATTAGCATTCTGACACACTGGATACAAAATGATGAAATTAGCGTCTGACGCACCAGATGAAAAGGGCTCAAAAACAATGTTTCCGTATGAAGATTCCAAATAGGTGCATTGTTACAGGAGAGCAGATATACCAAAGAAACAAATATCAAAGATGTGGTTCTCAAACGTCGAGCTCTAAGGTAAAAGTTCCTAATTTTCCATCTTTGTCCGCTGACACGCCATAAAAACCTAACTTTCCTGGATCAAAAAGCAAAGGTTATCAATCGACATGCCACAGCTGGTTTACAGGTTTGCCGGAGGCAAACAAGCTAGCGAATGTAGAGTTAAAATTTATTGGTTTGCCACAGGGACTTTACGATGCACTCAACTGCTGGAGCTAGTTGGATCGGACTCAATAGTCAATGGAAGTCGAAATCTACAATTGTCGGTTTTTGAAACATAAAAATAGATTCCTTTCTTCTGTTTGATAGAGACAAAAAGTTCACAACCCAACTCACCGTAGCTCATTTACTGGAGACAAAAAAGTGTGTGACACATGCATCATAAGTGGCGTGATCCAAAGCTCAAAATTCTTCATTTTCAGTGTTAACACACTACGGGATGTCTTCAGCTACTTTGAATACAAAAAAGTACACAATTCGACGCCTGCAATCGATTTATCGAGGGCAAACGAGAATGGAAGATGTTGAGTCCATGTTTCGTGGCGCGGGTTTGAGTAAAGATAATCACAACTACCCATTTTTGACTGCTGATATGAAAAACAACCTTTTTGAAGTTCGATGTAATAAGAACATTTCCTTCGACGCGACGTGGTCAATTTACCGAAGGTGAACAAGTATGGAACATGTGAGTGATAAGCGTCGTGATCCGTGGATCAATGAAGCACAAACTGTGCATTGCTTGTGCGGACATGCAACAAAGGCACACTTGCTGACTTAGATCGCAAGAAATTCAACCTAAACAGAGCACCTAAAGTCGTGATTTTAACTGCAAGAGATAGATTACCAAAGTTTGATATTTTTATCAGCGCAGCAAAGCAAGCTTGCAAACGCTTGTTCAAATTAAAGAAGGTGGAATCATCTACGAGGCAGTCGTTATATAGGAGACAAAAAAGCCAGCATGTGGGCCATGAGCATCATAACTCACGGGTGAATAAAGTCAAAAGGTGTTCAAAGGGAGGGCAAGGTGGTTTTTAGGAGGTAAGTAGACAAAATACACAATTTTGAACTATGTTGGCCCTCGGGTCATGACGTTCATAACTCATACGTTCGAAACGTGCTTACCTGTAGGAAATCGACTACGCCGTTCCCAAATGTGTACTTGTTTGCAATTGTAGCGAGCACAGATGCTTTTCTCTGTGTGTCAGCGTTTTGGTGTTCCCCTTTACATCGACTGTTACCAAAATTCTGTGCATTTTGTGAGATCTGCTTCGCATCATTTGTGATCGCAACAGCTTAGGAAATTGAGCCAATCATAATCAAACATAACAGAATCAACACGAGCATGATGGTTGTTGGTAATACCCTTACCCAGATCCTAACATTCAATGTCGTCGTCCAAATCATTTTCCAGCTAACGAAATTTGAAACTTCTAGACATTTAAAAACAGCTGTACGCTCACTTTTTGTTTTCCTTTTAAGTGTTTTCCTTTAAGGGAATGTTTCACATTTAAAGACATTGAAGAAAGCATCAGATACGATGAAACAAGTTCACTTTTAACTAGGTATGCTTTTTAAGTCGAAAACACAAGCTAGTCAGTGCAATTCTCAGTTTACTTGTATGCTCACCAATGCATCATGGTTTGATTATGTCATCGTGTCTTGCACGGCATTGATTAAGAGTCAATGTATGGTCGTATTACCTGGAAATCGCGCTCACGAAAATGCAATGCAATGAACGCAATGCAATGAACCAGCAATGAACACCTCGATCATCGTGCCTTTTTATTTTGATCTTCGCATGGGTTATGGAATGACATAATTTGAATGACGTTATTATGACGTCGTGAATGTAAAGGTGACTTTGAAATACTCTCCCGATATGTATTTTCCCATTTTGAGGGCATGTAGCTCAGGAATAAGAGTGGCTTTGGTCTAAGAAGGGCTGCATTATGAACAGCACCAAATGGCCTTCGAGATGGTTATACAGTTCAAAACCCCATATATATATATATATATATATATATATATATATATATATATATATATGGAACACTCCCTTTAAGCTGCCTCACCTTAGTTATACGGTTTTCACGGTCTCTGCCTGAAGCAGGTCAAAATCCTGGGGGAGCGTGAGCTGCTTTCAAAGCAACGTTTCCAATGGAGGAGATTTCGCTGCTTAGTGAGAGGATTTGGCAGTCATTGGTGGGGATTGACCCCTCACGTGGCAGTATCCGCAAGCGTACCCCTGGACATTACAAGTACACATGTTTATATCAAGAAGACGAGCGCTGCACAGCGCAATGATGCAGGAAACCGTTAAGAAGTTTTCAGATACATTAACTTGCAATTCCACGAACGGACTAAAATGCTTCGGATATAATTTTCCGGCTCTTCTCGGAGACAATGTATGTGATCAGACAGCGTAGAATCCCGACACGGCTACCTCGCTCTGCAGTGATCGTTGTGCGATACTAGGATGAGGTTGAGCTCCCCTCAAAATAAGGGGACACCTTTGCTATTCAGGAAGATCAATGTCGGACTCCAGGAGGAACACTCGCCGCACGTTTCTCTTAGACAGCTTCAGTGCAAGAAGCATTGTGCAAGCAGTGCAGCTACCTCGCACGAAGACAGACGCCACATGATCCAGCGCAAAATCCATCGCTTTCTATTAATTTAACAAAATATCTGTAATCGATTCGCCCCAGCCCTCTTAAAGACAAATTCAGATTTCAAAATAGCTCATAACGAATGGTGTCAATGCCTTTCCATATACCACTGGGAAGTTGTTTCAGCATGAGCCATCTGAATTTGCATAATTTGCATTGGAAAGGCCAAATGGCATTAGCCTCTCATTGGTCTAAAATCATAAGTGGCATATAAATCGGCTCACAAATGATTGCCAAACGTGGCCAGCATACAATTTCAATAATTTCCTTAAACAACACCAGCAAACTTAGGGGCGACTGACAGTAACGAAGATTAGTGGACGTTCTCGCAGGTTCAAAGCCGACGGTCGCGAAGTTCTCAGTCCGATCAGGCGCGGTCGGCGGCGGGATGGCTGTTTGTTAGTGGTGTTGGGCACATGATGCATATCTACACGCGGGAGGACTTCGCTGCAGATACCGCTGCTGCAGCAGATATCGCTGCAGATACCAGCATTCACCGCCAAACATCCTAAATGACAGTCAGCCTGGTGTGCCGTCACCGAACGTCAACTCAAAAGATTTCCTCCAGGCCTCCCCTTCACTGCTTCCTGGGCGTATCGCTGCTAGTCGGAACACTAGACTAGCAGCGTGTAGAGATAACAGACTCATTAACTTCGTCGAATTTAGTTGTTTTCAGTGCATCACGCCACACGCTTAAAACCCCCGACTCCGGGCGACGACCACATCATTCTTGCAGCTCGGATGCTCCGCCTGGGGCCTGTCTCCGTGGCGCCCGCCTGCCGGCCCCAAACGCGGGACAGGGGGGCGGGGAGTCTACCCTGCGGCGGCGATCAGGCGGCCGGGCGCGCCGGTCCGGTTCAGGTCCTACCCAGTCGTCAGCACCCGGCCAGCTCCTGTGCTCAGCACCAGGTCGTCTGTTGCCCTTAGGAAGAAGAGCGGATACGTAAGTACCGGAAAACATTAGGAGGCTATTGTTTTTAAACGGCGTGACTACGACCTGGTTGTTTTCAGATTGGGTGTATTCAGTGTCCATGACGAGAAGCACATGGCGTTTCTAGAGGCGTGCCTTGCCTGGAGCACATGATGCTGCACGGCAGGCGTAAACACAACTGCCCCAGTTAATATTAGGTTTTAAGGGCGAGTCAACTGCATTGGTTATTTCGCCAAGCATTGCTGGCCACTCGCTTTTCAGCACGGCTGTCCGCTCGTCTTTCGGCCCGGATGTAGGCATTTGGCACAATTAATAAAAGCCTGCATGTGAGCATACCATTATTTTGCGCTGCAAAAATCGCATTCAAAAAGTGTTAGCGTAGGCTATCGCAGCCAAACGTAGAGCTCTGTACCGGCCACCCACCCAACAGAAAAGGCATGTGGCTGGGCGGGACTAACGCTGGGGCACTCCCAGCCTTCGACTGTTGAGTCGATGTTTTTGGTATACATAAAGAGCTATTCTCAGGCTACGGGTACAGTTAACTTGTCAATGGAGAATCCAGTTTCCCTCTCACCCTCCTACCCCCTCCCCCAACACACTTGGGTTGCATCTCTCCCCCGACTTTGGGAAGGAGATGGACGAAATCCGGGGAGAGACCCGTTTGTTGACGTAGTTTTGCGTTAAGTTGTTTTATACGCTATTTTTGCTCATTTTTCCGATATTTTGACTTCATTTTTCACTGCTGAGCCTCGCTTATCCACCTAACTTTTTTGCGAAACTGCGACTCTGTTTGAAACAATTTCTGTTGGCGTGACACAAGTGTCAGCAGTAGGTGTTGTCAATGTTTGCCAACAAGTGACAACATGGCCAACAAGACATGCTGCTTCTTGGCCTGTCGCAGCATACTGTAAGCTCATATTCATTCTCACAGCACAGTACTCTTTGTCTTCAACACATGTATATCACCGCATGCATAGTTCTACACATTACCACTTCAACATCCCACACGTTATTGCACGCAGCCGTTCCGCTCAAATGTCTATCATCCAAAGAGCAGGCCAATATTCTTCAGCAACCATTGTATAGGGATATCTTTTGAGAAATCACAAACCGACGCGGCACAACACCTATTCAAACCAAACAAGTCCCCGTTCAGCAGGTGCGCCGCGGTGGTGGCGTCCGCTGCTGCTGAAGAAGCCGCTTAAACACATCGATTGGATGCATGCCCGTGGGGACCCACGGGATTTAGGGCACACGATTCCAAGAACCCGTGGCGCGGACCACGAGCGCGCGCCGCTACGCCTCGTTGCGTACAGTGTGTGGTGGGGGGCGTGGAGCTGTGCTAAATCGGTAGCTCGAGTCTGCCGGGTTGATATGTCTTGAGCCTCATGCATCTCAACCGAGTGAAGTTCAGCCCGAGTGTTATCAGCAGACGGTGTTAGTGTCATCAAGTGAGATCAGAAGACAGCGTTGATGTTATCAGGCGTTGTCAGTAGACAGTGTTAATTTCTGGCCAGCCAACCTTCTGGTCTTCGGGGAGGGGGGGGGGGGGGGGCTATTGAAAGCGCTCCGAGGGTTCGAGCTATGTATTTGGGATTAATAAGACTCCTTGAAGCAAGCCTTATTTGCATATTGTGACAGCCAGTTGCAAGACTCGAAAAGCCGAGTTATCCTTAATAAAAAACATGTGACCAGGTTGTTGGCTAAGTTTCTGGTCTTAGGCATACTTTCCATCATATTCTACGGAGCAGGTTCATGTTTGGCCGAACCTTAATGAACGCATTGCCCTCTTAAATAGTACTGCACTGCACTGTATGGCGGGCCTCCACAGATTTCCACAAGGTGTGCCAGACCATGATAAATTACCAAGACCTCAATAAATTGCCTCTACTTTTTTGGGTCTGGAAATACATTGAAGTTTACATAATTGAATTTTGCATTGAATTTAGTTTAGACTAAATTAACACGATGGACGACAACTTTCCTGGCACGACGCATCACAATGCACGTTCAAGACGGTGCGCCAAAGCAACACGTTTGTAGAGGGCGCAACTCTAGGCTCTGAAGAGAAGTGATGGTAGGCGATACCACTATCCTAGCCAAGTGTTTAGAAATGTGGGAACTCAAAGTGCTTGAAGCCGTGTACATAAAAGACAAATGTCCTGCCATCAACGGACCAATGAATATGAGAGGCACGTTCTCACCGCGTGATGGTTAGCCTCTGGCACCAAGGGTGTAACGTGATAATTTTTCCTTATCTCTGGAATGCTAATGAATCCTAGTCATGTAGTGTCGGTGGATGTATGAAACTTGAATTATAAAGGACCTAAATCTTTACAAGCTCTTGAAATATTATTCTGGACGTACGCCAACCGAAGATATCTTCAACTGTTTATTGAGGTTTTCAGTTCCTTGTACCTTCAAAACAACGCCAGCTCACGAAAGAAGTGATGGAAGTCAATGCCACTCTCCTTACTAAGTGTCCACAGAAGTGGAAACTCAGAATACTTGAGGCCGCGCTCATTGTTGTGAGAGGGGATTTATTATATTCCTTTTCCCTGCATTGGCTTTGACGGTGCCTGTGTATGATGATATTAGCAGAGCTAAGGAAACGTTACAAAATATAGGCTCACTTTTACATAGTTGTTCTGAAGATGACAAACGAATGGTGCGAAACCTGGAGCCTTTTTTCGAAGGAAACAAATATCCACCCATATATATATATATATATATATATATATATATATATATATATATATATATATATATGCATATACAGAGAGAGTCACATTCAAAATATATCAAAAATGATTGGAGAAATGTTTTGCTGCGTGAATGAAATTGATTATGTATGTTATGAAAACTTTAAGTTAATAAGTCTATCGAATTATTCAGTTGAAGATTACGGGGCTTTTGGAGCAACAGATACCGACACTCGCCGACATGATGCCGACACCAGAGCAACACTCTGGTGCCGGCAGCCCCAGGAAAGTCACTTTGCGGCGTGTCTTATACTCTTGTAAGAAGCTGTTGTTACCAGCTATCTTACCGCCTTACGCTCTCGTAAGAAGCTATTATCACCGGCTATCTTACCGCCATACGCTCGTGTGAGAAGCTATTGTCGTCGGCTATCTCACCGCTTGCTGAGGTATTTTGTCCCCAGTTGACAACTCTGAGTTCAAATGTTACAGACGGCAAAATACCCAAGGTAAGGCCTGGCAAAATCTCAGCGCAATTATCACAAAAATCACACCTGAAACACTGGTAAGTGTTTGATAAATGATTGACTAATTCACATCATACACGAGTAGGCTTTTACTTGATTTTTCCGATTGAGCGTTCCACATAAATCACTGGCAATTGTTTGTTTTTGTGCGACCGTGCTTTGAAAAAAAAACATTACTTCGCTACAGTAAGCGTTTTTGCATTTTATGGTTCAGATCATCCGGGTTTAGACTGTAGGGTGAAAGCATCCTGGGACAAATGTGGTGAAGGAATATGAGATGTCGGACGGAAACAGAAGGAATGCGGAAGGGAGCTAGGCATTCTGGGACGAGCCGGCGAGTGCGACAAAAGATGCGGCTGTGGTCCGGTCCTGTCGCGAGTAGTGAAGAGTAGGTGTGATTTTTGGTCCGGTCCTGTCGCGAGTAGTGAAGAGTAGGTGTGATTTTTGGTCCGGTCCTGTCGCGAGTAGTGAAGAGTAGGTGTGATTTTTGGTCCGGTCCTGTCGCGAGTAGTGAAGAGTAGGTGTGATTTTTGGTCCGGTCCTGTCGCGAGTAGTGAAGAGTAGGTGTGATTTTTGGTCCGGTCCTGTCGCGAGTAGTGAAGCAGCACTATGTAACTGGGAAATAGGTGCATTCATATCTAGTGGCGTGGGAACGACATTCAGGTTAGGGGCTGGGAGGCCAGGTTCACAATGCCAAAATGAGTCCTTTAAATTGGATAATGGACGCTCATCAATGGGTCCTGTAAGGTCCGAACGGGTCCACCGCAGGCAAGAACTCGTCCTCCACGGCCAAAATGACCCAGTCAGTAATGTACCCTCCTAAAGACCAGAATAACCTCCGTACAGGCCAGAATTGGCCCTCTATAGTCCAGAATGGAAGCACTACAGTGAATAATGGCTCTGTAGCACCCGGCATTGGCCTTGTACAGCCAATAACTTATATCACTTATATCATACATGATACTTAATAATGTATATAATAAATAATTCTTATAGGCCAGAATGGGTCCAGTACGGATAAGAACGGGCCCACTGTGGGACAGAATAGGCCATCTACAGTCATTAATGGGCCTTCTACAAATTAGAATGTCCCATTAGACACCATGTCAGAATGGGCCCTCCACAGGCCTAAATAAGCCCTTCTACATTCTAGAATGGGCATTCCATGGCCGACAATATGCCTTCTGCATGTCAAAATGGGCCCACTACGGACTACAATTAAATCACCCCTCTATGGGACAGGATGTTATCTCTACACGTCAGACTTGGCCTTCTTTAGGCCAGGATGGGTTATTCACAGCAAGAAATGAGCCCTCCGCTGGTCAGAATGGACCTTCTACAGGTCACAATGGGTCCTTCACAGCCAACAATGGCACCTTAACAGGCCAGAATATGCACTTTACAATTCTGAAAGGGTTTACATGCCAAAATGGACCATCCACAATCGGTGATAACCTTTCTAGAGGTCAGGATAAGCTCTCTGTAGGCCAGAATTGGGTCATCTGCGGGGAAAAATTGGCCCTCCACAGTCAATGCTGGATGCTCTACAGGCCATAATGAGCTCTCTTAAGGACAGAATTTGACCTCCTTAGACCAGCATGGGACTTCTAAGGCCATAATAGACCCTCCACAGTCAAAGATGTCCGTCTACAGATCTGAGTGGGTCTCTTTAGACAGAAATGGATCCTCCTCAGTCAATAATGGGCCTCACACTGCTCAGAATGGGTCCTCTACAGGCTATGAATTGCTCTTGTCGGTCAGAATGAACCCTGAATAGGTCAGAATG